TCCACTTATTAGTCATATTACACAGTCCAGTAATTTATCTTGGAATGAAACTAGCATTTTTAATATACCAAAGAAAATTTGTAATGATTATATTCCAGTTACAGACATAAAGAATTTCAGATCATTAATAGATTTCTCCAAAAAAAAATCAGAATCTTTGGAAAAAATTAATAAACCGAAAATTCAAGACGCATTGACAGATATAGAGAAGCACTGTTCAAATGTTAGAGACATGTGGAATGTTATTTCACTTGTTAAAAAACAATCTAATAAAGTAGTATCTCCTAAAGTAAGAGGCAAAAAGAACAGACAATTGGGAAAAAAGGAAACAATGGAACACAAAACTGAAGAAGATCAATTAGAATGTTGTAGTTGGACTTACAAATATAGACCAAAAAGTTCTCGAGAAATAGTTGGAAATAAAGAAGCGGTGGCAAAATTGAAAGAATGGCTAATTGGATGGAAAAAAGAATTTACAAATGACAATGTTAGTAGTGGAGATGAATTTTATTCATCTGATAGTTGTCAAACAAAAATTAGTGAAAATAATCAAATAGCTGTATTACTCGGACCACACGGATGTGGTAAAACTGCTAGCGTATATGCAGTAGCAGATGAATTTGGTTACACGTCAGTATTAAAGAATAATATTTAATTGAAATAGAAAATTAGTTATGGTACATAGTTTGTAATAACAAAAAAAAATATTTTTTTAGTGTATTAGAGTTGAATGCATCATCTAGAAGAACAGGGAAGAAACTTGTAAAGGAATTGAAAGAAGCAACTAAATCACATAGAATTAAGAAAGATGAGAAAACATCTGCATTTTGCGATTTAATTTCAGATGAGATTGTACCAAAGAAAATACCGCAAAATTCTCTCATTCTTTTAGAAGATGTTGATATTATATTTGAAGAAGATGAAGGTTTTATTTCTGCTACATATCAATTGGCATCAAATTCAAAGCGTCCAATTGTTATGACGTGCCGAGATGTTTATCCCCATCTTAATAAAATGGCATCTCAGCAAAATAGAATCTATTTTCAAGAGCCTACTGCTAATAGAGTTTCTGTTTTATTAGAATTAATTTCATTGGCAGAAACTGGTTATAAACTTCCATTTAATTGCATAACAGTAAGTCAAATAATTTATACAATTGATATCATTTTAATTTTTTAGAAATAAAGTAGAAAATACTAAAAATCTTCTTCTACAGGAATTATTGCAAAGTGGTGATTTACGAAAAGCTATATTACAATTGCAATATTTATTATTATCTGGCCCACCACGTATATTAGAACAGACCATAAATTTTAAAAATTCATTTTGGCAAAATGTACGGTATTATGTATATAAGCCAGCAATCAAAGTAAGTAAAAACAGAAAAACAAAAAGAGCTACAAATCACAAAGTAATAAACGATGATAGAAACATAATAAGTGATATAGCAAACAAATTAGATAATATAGCTTTAGTCTCATCTTTAATTGAAATAGAAGACTCTGCGTTAGACTTTTGGCAAATAAAAACACAACCCAATTTATCTTTGCTTGAAAATACTGCTTTGTATTCAGCTTCTAGTAATATAAGTCTAGAATTGGCTGAATGGATAGGTAGTACAGTTATATGTAAAGAGCAGTTAAACAAGTACAATGGAATACAATATCCAAATAGCATTATGTTAAAAAAACAATTAAATAAAGGAGTGAACATAGCCTTGTCACAAACTACATCATTATTACTCGATCATAAAATTATAGCTACAGATTATATCCCATCTATAAGAACAATATGTAGAGCAGAAGAATCAAGAGCTAATAGCAATAATAAAAGAGGAAATCGATTCTTTCATTATCTTCATAATCTAAAAACATCATCTACATTATTCAAATCTAATGTTTTAGCAGCAGCATGCAAAATAATGTATGATAAAGTTGATAATGATGCACAAAATGAAAATATCAATTCCATATAATGATCAGGTTTTATATTAAATGTTATAAAAATTTGTAAACATAGTGCAAATATTATTTTTAAATATACAATACTTAAAAAAATATATTGGAGACTTGAAAAAATTACCGATGTTATTTAATTATATTTTATTTTTTAGTCTCCTGTTTTAAAGGAAATAAATTTTAGATTATTGGCACTTTTATAATATTAAAAGCATCCTTGAATATTGTATGTATTAATAATGAAGCAAAATAAGTATGTTATTTTGATTTTCTCAAAGTGTTATAGTTCTTGAAGTGTTGCTACAGTGTTGTATAGTATTAATGTAAAGTTGTATCGTTGTATCATACATAGTGCCTTCAAGTTATCTATCAAACTGACTGACTATAATATTTTGAATTTTGTAATTGTATAAATAAAAGATATATTTATTATTAATCAATTTTTATTTTCTTAGCAAGAATAATATATTAATATAGAACTTAAATTTTTATATGATGTAATTTGCGATTTAATTCTTCAAATTTTAGAATTTTTCGAATGAAAAAGTCTCCATAACGATGCGCTACTTTTGTATCCGCTATATGAATCATATCGTGATCGATATAAAAATCCAGCTGTAAAAACATACATTGTCATTATCTTCTTACCGACAGTAATAGAAAATTAAATCAACATTACATTAAGTAAAAAATTACCTCAGAGCCAGATTGGAATTTTCCATCTAATCCTGATGCACCTTTTGTCCAAACAATGTTTTTCATTTTATGTTTAAAACATAATAAATGAATAGTTAATGCACTGACTTCTTTATCTAAATCCCAACTCTCGTCAGGCCTAGTATTACTACACATAAACGTAGCTAGTTTACTCAATGGCAAAGTAGTATATAATTTCAAATATGAACGTATAGTTGGTAACATTTTTTGTTGTACAACTTCATCCATAAAGACTTGAGTTTGATGTTTAATTGCTTCTCGAACATAATCTTCATTTGGATTGTCAGGATTTGGTGGTGTAAGAGACAAGAATTTTGGACATGCAAATAAAAAGCATGATTCAAATTCAACTACATCTCCATATTGCATTTTATACATTTTTTCATGATAATTTTTATCACGTAATGCCTGTTGTAATCCTTCGTCTATACATTGTGGATGAAGAACAAGACAGATTGCTAGCAAATGGTACATTTGTTCCGTTTGTTTATTAATCTGATCATTCTGGTAACTTCTTGTTGCAAACAACTGTTTCGTTCTTTGAATATATAATAAAATACCAGAAAATGTCCTGATTGCATCTGCGTATCTGCGCATCATCATATAAGCAAAACCAACATAATATGCTGTTGATATTTGACAACCGGGAACATGTGAGTAGGCACTCTTCTTATAAAGCTCAACATTTTCTAATACTTTAATAGCCTGGTAATAGTCTCCCAGAAGAGAATGTAAACGTAACAGTCCTACAAGAGAGAAATATCCAAGCATTTTATATAAAGAATGTCTTCCAAATACACCAGCTACAGAATCTGGATCACCACCACTTGCATATACTTCCAATTGACTCTTAATTTTTGATTTATCTACTAAATAATGTAGAACATTCAAAACACACAAAACGTCCCACGTTTTGTTATGTGCATTTAAATTTTCAATTTCCTCAGGCGTTTTATTTGATAAATTAGCACGATATTGTGTAAAAGATTGAAACTGATAAACAAATTCATCAATGAGTTCCCACAACCATTGATCAGGTAGCTCCAATTGAACTGGAGTGTCTGGACGCAAGATAAAATTAAAAAGATCACAGTAATTATAAAATGAACCAAGACGTTGTTCCAATGTTGGCCCTTGCATACGAGCATAGATATGACGATAATAAAGTTCTTTGTACAAAGTAAGAAATACTGCATCATTGTCAACTATGTGTGCAATTGTTTGAGTATCAGGCCAAGAAGACTTGTCAAATAATTGTTCTGAAATTTTTGGAAATGTTGTCTCATAAAGATTTTGAATCTCAAAAATCATCCCTTCGTTTATACAATTTCGTAAGAAAATCAGAAAGTTTCGTACAACTTCCGGTACTTGACGATAACCTAGTCTGTCATACTGGTCACCATGAACATCTGGCGGCCCATAATCATCATAACCATCATACTGAAAAATACGTATATTAATTAATACAATTTCAAAATGTGAATATTCATTCAATCAATATTTACCTCGCCATAATCGTCATACATGGTACTTATTTTTAAATAACTTTATATAAAACACTCGATGTAACCTACAGATCGAGGAAGGTAAAAGCTAACTAAAAAGATCGGTGGATAGTTCACGAGTTACTAAATGATACGGTCATAAACTAATACAAACTAAGATATACTTCTCATTTATACTTGAAAATTCAAATTCAAATCTATCTAGTGGCGTAATCAAACAGCGACGAACGTTTCTCACTGTAATTTATAGTTTATGGTAAATGTTTTTATATTTATAAGCATTGACTAACTAAAATAGACCGGTTAACTAATGTTTTTTTGTGTTCCATCACGGACGAGATATATGAATAGATCTTGTATACAATCATTGACTAATTAGGATAGACCAGACATCAAATGGGATTTCGTGTCTCAGGATCTGAACTACCGAACAGAAAAAAAATCACTGATTTTTTAATGTCTTCTACGTTTAAACAACGATGAATTAAAGAACTACGTTAAACAAAATGAAACAAGTTGGAAACAAGTTCAGGAAAATAATATCCATTACATTATTGTCAATTGTATATCTTCAGCACAGATATAAATACATATATCTCGTCTATGCCTCCAAATTCCTCCAAATCATGGTCATGCAATGCTTTTCGTATACCTCGTCTGTGAATAGACCAAGCATCTTATGAGATTTCGTGAATCCTGAAATATCGACATAGTAAAAAATCACTGATTTTTTAGCGCACTCTACGTTTAAATAACGGTGAGTTGGAGAACTAGTGAATACGCCAGAAATATAATTTTTCAGACCCATTACAGTGTTGTCAACTTTCAATATCGACATGTAAAGCTTGCTGTGACATTATTGAATGTCCAGTCTATGCTAGTTAGTCAATGGTAAGATGCAATGTCTATTCATATACCTCATCTGTGGTAGAGTGCACAAAAACAAATGATCTTTTCCTGATCGGTATTTCAGACTTTGAGACTCGAAGTTCCATTGCATGTCCAGTCTATTCTATCTTTAGTCAATGATGTAAGTATATTGTCACTTTCTTACGGGCACCACGCGTAAGAGAGTGTCATTTTTGTAAATGTAAATTTGTTGTGCATTTGTTAGATATATAAAATGGGTATACTAGAAAAAATATCGGAAATTGAAAAAGAAATTGCACGGACACAGAAGAATAAAGGTTTGTACATTTAGATTAAATTATTTTTTTCTAACCTCACGCTGAAATGCTTTACTTACATATAACAATTTCAAGAAATTTTTAGATATGATATAAACGTTTGTCATTTCATATATTTTTTTATTAAAATTAAGTATTATTATTAAAATAATTTAACTTTAAAAAATTATTTCGAAGCTAATCAAATATTTACCACTTATTGTGCTTTATTGCTTTATTGTGCTTATTGTTTTATTTATTAATAAAATCTATTTAGATACAGTATTTGTATTTCTTGTTGATTATTATTTATAATTTATTATATTTTTTATCATCATGGAAAAGCATATATATGTCATTTATTGTATAGAATAAAAAGATCATGTATATATGTTTGCTAAAAAAAATAAATAATTTAATAACAAATTAGTTACATTATTTAATAATTACAAATTTATTTCCAGCTACTGAATATCATTTAGGATTATTAAAAGCAAAACTTGCAAAATATAGATCGCAACTTTTAGAACCACCAAAGAAATCTGAGAAAGGAGAAGGCTTTGATGTCTTAAAATCGGGAGATGCAAGAGTAGCATTAATAGGTTTTCCTTCTGTAGGAAAATCTACTTTGTTAAGTACATTAACACACACAGAATCTGAAGCAGCATCTTATGAATTTACTACTTTAACTTGTATACCTGGTGTTATTGAATATAAAGGAGCTAATATTCAACTTCTTGATCTTCCTGGAATAATTGAAGGTGCTGCACAGGTATTCGTCTGATTAAGTTTTATGTAATGCGTGATATATAATATGTGATATACAGAGTCAATCATATAAAACAGGATATGCAAATACATATTTCTGTTAATGAAAAAGACAAAAAAACGTCAAAGAGAAAAGTTATATAGTTCAAGTCCCAACTCGATCCCTCGAAAATGCAAATCTTGTTGTACATGATTATAAAAACTGTAAGAAAACAACGATAATTTTAATTGAAATTGTTTATTAAATTGTTTTATTAAAATTACATTCAGTGTCCAAAATGATGACCCAGAGTACTAACATAAGCATTCAATCTTTATATAAAATTTTAAATGGCTCAGTGTTTTAATTGTGGATCACAATGCATACACAAAAGCCCATTTCAAAATTACAATATTCTATATCATTTTGTTCTTAAAAACAGTTAGGCTATAAAGCCAAAAATATGTAATGCTATTTGAAAAATTATGGATAACCTTCAAAAGAAGTTAAACAATGATTTGAAGATAATCAAGTCGATCAATGAGATTTGTTCATATTATCATATTTGTTTCCTTGAATCACATAATTTTTCTTTTTGATATTTTTTTCTATCTTCAATACTAACAAAAGTATTCTGTTTTCTGTGACTTACTCTATATATACAATATATGATTATACACACACACACACACATATATTAGTTTATAAAATTCTTACATTTATGAATACTGTGTTAAGGGTAAAGGAAGAGGTAGACAAGTAATAGCTGTTGCAAGAACAGCAGACTTAGTTCTTATGATGCTCGATGCAACAAAACAAGATGTACAAAGGCAACTCTTAGAAAAAGAATTGGAATCAGTTGGTATACGACTTAATAAAAAAAAACCAAATATATATTTTAAAATAAAAAAAGGAGGTGGATTAGCATTTAATTCAACATGTCCATTAACAAAAGTAGATGAAAAATTAGTTCAAATGATTTTACATGAATATAAAATTTTCAATGCCGAAGTTCTATTTCGTGAAGATTGTAGTGCAGATGAATTAATCGATGTGATTAATGCCAACAGAGTATACTTACCATGTCTTTATGTACATAATAAAATAGATCAAATATCAATAGAAGAAGTGGATAGAATTGCTAGACAGCCTAATAGTGTAGTAGTTAGGTAAAACTTTTCTTTACGTAATTTTTTTTATAGAAAAATTTTGTCTATTAAAGCTAAAAATTACAAAATTATTATAAACATTAATAAACATTAATATTTTCCTTACAGTTGCAACATGAAATTGAATTTAGATTTTCTTCTTGAAACATTGTGGGAATATTTATCTTTAATAAGAGTTTATACAAAAAAACCTGGTCAACCACCTGATTTTGAAGATGGTTTAATATTAAGAAAAGGTGTTACTGTAGAACATGTATGTCATGCAATTCATCGTTCACTTGCTCAACAATTTAAGTATGCCCTTGTTTGGGTAAGTATCATTAAATTTTTTACAATATTTATAGTTTATATCTATGTGATTACAATTATTGCTTGAATTATTGCAAATATGATTCTTATAGTCAAAATAAATAAAAAAAAATTATTATTAATATTAAAAAAGAATTCATTTTTCTAGATCAGTGCTGTCCAAACTTTTAGTTAGTAGTAAAATGGGCTTCAACCACTTTCATTATTTCACGCGAGCTTCTTTTTTTTTAATATGAAAAAATGCAAACTATAATCGATTATTTTCAGAACAGACAAATAAAGGAATTGATTACGTTTGGTCTTAATTGAAGAAAATGTTTGAATAACCAAAATATATGCTAAATCAATTGAATGTGAAATGAGGAAATATGTGATTGCAAAATGCATAGAAGAGAGAAACGCGTGAGTTATTCCGCTGTTTTAAAATATTAATATAAAGAGATAAAACAGCGTAAAGAGCCCTACTTGCGGACAGCACTGTTTCAGATAATGTAAACAATTTAATTAATAAAACATTCAACTAGGGATCGAAAATTTTAATTAAATATTTTTTAATGAACTATTCTTATACTTTGCTTGTACAATGCTTGTTTTTATTACATTGCAATAATTCTTTTGTATTTAAAAAAAAAAGATTTAACTAATAATTGCAAATAAATGTACACATTTTATAGTAAATTTTCCAAAAATGTGTGAAGAAACAATGAATTATAGGCTGTATATTTTATCTAGCAAGAAATACTAAAAAAAGAGATGGGTTGATAATATTTTCCCAAATTTTTTTTCAGGGTACAAGTACCAAGTATTCACCTCAACGAGTTGGCTTGCAACACATTATGCACGATGAAGATGTTATTCAAATAGTTAAAAAATAAAATTTATACAATTACGTGCATAAATTACCTGTGAAAATTTAAATTGCAGAACGTTACATTATATAGATTTGTTTATATGTTTTGTATGCATTTGCTAGAAAGAAGCGATCGTCTTTTAAAACTTATTTCAACTTATTCCGGATTTGTTTTATTTAATATAAATACGAAACATTTGTACTACGTATTTCTTAATAATTTAAAAATTAAAATTGTTTGAATGCAACTTTTAATAAATATTGTTCGTGTAAAAGTAATCATAGAAGCTAATTTTTATATATATGTAATAATTATACGCTATTTGTTTATTAAAATATATTTGGACAAACAAATTACATTTTGTATATTTATTTATCTTTATGTAATATATATCTTCATTATATTATAATGATTTACATATATGTATGCAAAAACTGTATCCTTACATAAAAGGAGAATGTAATTAATTATAATAATAGTAAGATTAATTATTAATAATACAAGATTAATTAGTTAATCACAATAGTAATTAATCATCAGCCGGCTTATAATAAAAAATAAATAAAAATAAAAAAATAAAATATTTCTAAAGTATTCATCTTTTATTTCAATTTTCATGTTTTTAATAAAATAATATAATGTAATTTGTAACTATAAAACTGATATTTTATAACTCGATTGATAAGTGTACAAAACTCTTGTATTTTAAACAATACAAAGAAATTTTATTTTTCAATTCTGTTAATTTTATTACGTCTTAAATATTAAAATATCACTATTATGATACAAAAGTGTTCAAACATTACAAACATATAGCTACATTTTACATGAAAATCCATCTTATAATCGTTCATTGCGTAACTACCTTGCAAGTTAGCCACTCGACGAACATACTTGACCTTCGATAAACTTGACAGTAGACACCTCAACTAAGCAATTGAACACAGGATAGACGATACAGTGGAAAATGGATTTCCTTTTTGTTTTGTTATGATTTCGCTTGAAAGTATAGTAGCCATCGGCGGAAAACCATTGTAGGGAAGCATTATCGGCGGACAAAAGAACTTTCGTATCGAGTGCAATATGGTTTGATTTGTAAAAACGATTCTTTGGAAAAAAGCTCATCCGTCCACGGATCTCAAATACAAAAAACGTTAAAGGGGCGATCAGTGCATAGAGGTTTGGCCTGCAGTATGCTCAGGGTTTACAATACAGAGATATTATGGCTGCAGGTGAGGCCAGCACAACAAAGTCTCGTCAAGAAAAACAATACGATTACCTCCTTAAATTTTTGCTGGTGGGTGACAGTGACGTTGGAAAACAAGAAATCTTGAGTGGACTTGAAGATGGTGCTGCCGAATCTCCGTTTTGCAGTGGCAGTGGTATTCGTCAACCTTTCCTTATTATTATTTCCTTCTCGGTTGCTTGTTTCAAGTTTCTTTTCAATTTTAAACAATGCGTCTGCATTGTATTTGTTTCACCATATTTTGTTGGAGCTACATAACCAATATATAATACTCGTTTAATCGTGCCAAATTTGATATTTAATCACGATAGATAATTGCAATGGCATTCTAGAAATTGTTCATTGTTTATTTCTGATCTGTTATTATTTATGATAAACATTTTGTTAATATGTTTATTTATTTCATCGATATCATCTGCTTGATACAATTAATCCAAAATTTGTTGTCTGAATTTTGCATGAAAAAGCAAATTTAAGAATTTGTACAAGTAATTGTAAAATCAAATTTTAGACATTCAACAATTAAAAAAGTACATTACATTACATTATGTTCTATTTACTTATTTTAATAGTATCTGTATTTTTTATTTTTTTTATTTATTTTTTAGCATATAAAACTACTACTATCTTATTGGATGGAAAAAGAGTAAAATTACAATTATGGGACACATCGGGACAAGGTAGATTTTGTACAATAATCAGATCTTATTCTCGTGGAGCTCAAGGTATATTTTTAGTTTATGACATTACCAACAAATGGTCTTTTGATGGTATTGATAGATGGTTAAAGGAAGTTGAAGAGGTATGTGTTAAAATCAATTTTATGTTATAGCTATATTATTCTTTTAATATGAAAATTAGACAGTTATTACATAATTAAATTTTATAAATTTAATTTAATATTTAATATTACAGCATGCTCCTGGAGTACCAAAAGTACTTGTTGGCAATCGCCTTCATTTAGCTTTCAAAAGACAAGTGGGAGAACGTGATGCTGAAGCATATGCAGCTAAAAACCATATGGCATTTTTTGAAGTCTCACCTCTCTGTGATTTTAATATTCGTGAAAGCTTTTCTGAACTTTCTCGAATGGCTTTACATCGCAATGGTATGGAAAGATTATGGCGATCTAATAAAGGTAATGCATTTAAATTTTTGCTACGATAATTTTTTTTTGAATTTGTTACGAATACCAACTTCGTTTCTAGTTCTCAGTCTTCAAGAACTTGCATGTCGTGCAATAGTTGCAAGAACAACAGTTTATGGCATTGACCAACTTCCATTACCTAAATCCATTAAATCTCATTTGAAATCTTATGCAATGACAACTACATCTCAATTACGTTATAACGGAAATAGATCACTGAGCTCTAGTAAAAGTCTTAGTTCTCATCATCGAAAATTGCGTTTTGTTGGTGTAGGACATAATGGATTGTCAACTCCAGGTAGCTCACCTGGCAGTATAACAGATTCTCGTACCAGTTGTGTTGGTCGTAATTCTTGCACAATATCTTGAGAGTAATTTTATGATTCCAACTGTAAATATATGATGCTAATTCTTTCTTCCTGTTTTGATGTGAAGTGTTTTGTTAACATCCCATAAAAAATGGTAAAATATTAAAAATTTTTATTTTTTAATAGTGGCTACGGTATAAAATATTAGCAATAAAATTAGAAAAAAGGAAAAAATGATTTACTTGTAATTATAAAATAAATTCTATATTTAATTTCATAGTTATTTAATACAATCTTATTATGTCGTTTCTTTAATTGTTTTATATTTGAAATAATAGTTGCGCGATTTTGATTAACAAAAATTCCAGTATCGTTAAAAAAATTACTTAAAATGTTATCAACGATACAAGAATTAATGAATAGTATAAATTAATAATTGAAGCACATTAATCAAAAATTATTATTGATCAAATTTTTATTTTTCTTAAATTTTGATGGACAATGTTTTTTAAAACAAATCTATATTAAAACAGGAAAAAATGAAGTGAAAAGTACAAGTTTATTAAGTCTACAAAGGTTGTGGTAGACTAGAAATAATGTAAGTTGATTAGTTTAGAGCAGCTAATTGGATAGTGATATGTAAGAACAAATCCAAAAATATATAATTTTCAAAGTTTTTGAAAATTTTATTAATTTTTACATTCTTATTTAGTAATAGGAAAAAAATTGTTTTACTATATTATTTTTGAAATTGTATTTCATTATGTATTTATTATATAAAAACCGTTCAAAATTTATATTGAACCTTTAATTTCTTTTCTATTATTCTTTTCTAAAGATTTATTTATTATGCAAAATTGAATTGTTTTTCGTGATAATATAATTACATGTTATTTAAATAACTTAATATAATTATATATTATTTTATTTGTACAGTATAATTTTATAAAAATTATGTTATGTATTGTAAATATGAAAGAATTCATTCATACTATACTCATATTTTGATAAATTTCACTACAGCAAATTACTATGATCTCTTAATATCAATAATACGCTAATTTAGCAAATTCATTTTCAATTTTTTATTTTTTTTTAATTTTGCTTTAAAATTTTATGGAAAATAATAATTGTTATTATTAAACCATAGATATTTACTGTATGAAATTTATCAAACTGTGATAACAATTTATACGATAGTTTTTTAAAGATTAAACAATATTAAGAAAACACAAAATGTATTTATATGGTGTAAAATTCAAATTAAATTATGTGTATATAAAAATAGCTATGATTATTAATGTTATATATAATATGATATATAAATGAAGTCTTGTTTATTCAGAATAATATGTTAACATACGTTATATTGATATTTACAAAATAATTTTAGTTTCATTTTAGAATGAAATACGACATTAATTGTTAATTGTGTTGATAGTATTTTACTAACTTATCTTTTTCTTGCTATTTTTAGTTGTTAATAAGTGTATTTTGATAAAAAAAAACATATACAATGCAAAAAAAAATCATTAATTTCATCATTACTGTATATATATCATTGTAAGATAATAAAGTTTTCATAAATATTGATATCTTGTCTTACAGAAAGAAAGGGGCCATCCAAATAATTATAATCAAGCAAAAAAATTACTTTTTTATTCATTAACTAGAAAACTTGTTTATGTTTATATTAAATACATAATTTTATTATAAAAGACAATGATATAAATAAGATAATTGTTTATATAAAAATATATGCATGAAGTAACTCATATAATTTACAATCACACATTGACGAATTGTTCCACTTTAATATTGTTTTTATAATATAAAATGTTATAAATATGCAAATAATAAATTTCTCTCAATCTATTAACAACAGCAGTAATGATTACTTCTTAAAAATATTAATGTCCTTATGGTTATAAAATATAATATGATTTAATATTTATATAACTATATTATATATAAATATTTTAAAATTGCATAAAATTGATGTAATGTATATTTTGTCTTTAATAATAAAAATTTTTGTATTATAGTAATTGTTTTATATTTTTATTTTACATTTAATTAAGAATTTCAATTTTAATCAATACATTATATTTGTATAATGAAAATGATATTTTTGAATGAAAAAAGTTGTTTTCTATTGATAAATAAATTAAAACTTGTAGTATATGTAATATATATTACATATAGATATTTCCTTTATAGATATGTATCATACAATAAAATTTTAAATTATCATCAATGTCAATTTCTTTTACCAACTAGTTTATTATCCATATAATGGTTTAATGTAGTAAAATTTTAAAATTGAAATAAAATTATTGTTATGATGTATTTAACTATTACACAGAGTATATTATTAAAAACTGTTCAATTGTTTGATAAAAGACTAATGCAATCTAAATTTTAAGCATCTATCTTTATATTTTCCAGTTTTTATTATATAAACTTTGCTTTAAGATTTAATCGATGTTTATTCAAGAAATATCTTTATACAATTGAAAAGAAAATTAGAAATGACAACAGTTGATATATCTATGATCGGAGACAATGCTTGCCTTCCTAATGAAAGGAATTTTTGTGTTCCTCAACAATTATTGGAAGTAAAAGAATTATTAAAATCAATCGACAGAAGACTGGAAGATTGTGCATTAGAATGGCAAGCAGAGATTTCTCGCAAACAATGGAAAATATTTAGATCTAATGTTAATGGAATTACTTTACCTGAACGATCTTTGTTAGCAAGAACATATTTTACAGAGAAAAATCTTGATGAAGCATTTCAACATTTACTTTCTTGTAATAAAATTTTTGCAGAATATTTAAAAAATTTCATTGGCAAGTAAATTAAATATATTTTTAATAATAAATGTTAATAATAAAAACAATATATTACAATTTAAGCTATTATATTAATTTATTATTGTTATTATTAGATCTTTTACAAGACAAATCATCCGTTTCAAATATTAAAAAAACATGTGATGTGCAAAATCAATCTTGTAATACAAAAAAAGATTGTAAAATACTAGATATTATTAATACAGAACCAACACATCTTTCTTCACAAAACAATCAATATTTAAATGGGGAAGGAAAAATTCAAGATTATATTGATAATATATTAACAGTTAAAAATTCATTTACTGATGTAATAAAAGCTAAAATTAACTTTGACACAAAATTTTTAGGATTTGAAGCTATATTACATAAAGCTATATCTACATCAAGTGATACAATTTGCCTTTGTCAATATTGTTCTAATACTATGGTAATATATTTTACCTATATTATATCTTACTACTATTATAGTAATATACCAAAAAAAATTCAATTACATATTTTAGCAAACTACACATGATATACACAGAAAATTAAGAAGTGTAACTCTCAATCAAAGAAATCGAGCAGTTACAAAGCCTAAACGCTTAACTAGATCTAAAAAAAACATTATTTAAAAAGAAAAAGAAAAATTATCCATAGTACTTGATAAAATCAATGACCAACTACGTAACACCAAATTTTATTAATTCAATTTTGTTATATTGTACTTATTTCCAATTAATTGTTAAATTCTTGTTAATTTTCGCGAGTATTAAGAATTTAAACTAAATAGTAACATGTATATACAAAGAAATAATTTATATAATTTAATAGAGGAATTTCTTTATTGTATTTTACATTATTAAAACATTTGATTCTAATGTTAAAATTTTCCAAAATAATAATAAGTAATCATTCGAAAAATCTACTTACTTTGGAAAGTCTCGTTTAATTTTTAATTAAACTATTGGAAAATTTAAACATTGAACTGATTCGTATCAGTTCTATACACTCGTTTAATTTATTTATAATTTTATTCCTATTAAAAATATTATATAATAGTTTTAATAGAATATTTTATATTGTATTTAATAAGCAATTTACAATACAACAAGAGTCTATACAGTTTTTATGCTTAATTTTATAATGATGAATTAATGTTTTATTATTTGTTTTAATATTAAAGTAATTACAACATACACAAATTCAAAAGCATTCAATTATACTTTTTGCAACAAATGCAATTAATATTATGTAAATATTATTTTGTTAAACATATACACGAGCATTTAAAATTCTACTTTTTAAATATTCATCATAATATATCATTAATTATTAATATTGTTTTTTTTATTTGCTAAGATACTAACTTGGAAGAAAATATATTTTACAAAAAAATCAATCGTTCGTTTTTAAATGTATATTACATAAAAACATTACATAATTTGTCAAGACTATATATTACATTTTTCAAATTTTGTAAATTTATACTTGAAGAAACTTTTTTTTTAAATTAATAATATACAAATGAACATCGATAAAAGACATTTATAGAAATAACAATTATTTGCTGTTAAAAATTCAGATAGAATGAATTACTACTTTTTAACTATATTTAGTTATAGCGAAATAAACAATAGCAAAAATGTATTAATTAATACAATAAAGATATTTTAATACAAGTTACACATAATGTTTAGATATTTTATCTTGGAGTAAATATTTCTCTGTTCTACATTCTAAATAACGAATAAATCTAGATTTTAAATAGTAGATAAGTTTTACTAGCTTGGTAACATTAAAATTTTTTAATAATTATTAGAATAAATTTTACACTTATAAAAAGAGATTCAAAATTAAAAATGTTTTGTTTTCAGTAACACTTACTGAATAAATACATCAGTTTAAATTAGCCTAATCACTGTAATGAACCATTATAACATATGTCTATAACAGATTCAATATCTCATTAACGTTACATTACGATTTCTATAAACAGCCAACTTGTATCAAATTTCTTGTTCTATTAATATTATGAATATCCATAAAAGATTTCTTGTTCACTTGGCTCATTAAAATTGTACCACTTCAAGGGAACCTTATGAGGAAAGACTTTCTTCATTTGCTGTTTCTGTGATCGTGAATTTATTAGTTGGATCGAGTATACAAAACACAATTAACAAGTAAATTAACCGACTTAAGAAAGAACAAAAAAATTCTTCCTAATAAAATTCTCCTTGAGTGAAGTGATTAATCTGAGTTTATCATTTATTTAATCTGTATCATACTGACATAAGAGAATAGTATCAGCATGAAATTTTGACATCTTAAGTTAATATTAAAATTACTTTCATGTTCCAGTTTGATTTCTTTTCTACTACATTCACGTTCGTTCAGTTGCCATCATTTTTTAATTTACCTTAGACAAACAGATCTCATAAATATTTAAATGAATAACATGTAAAAAATAAATTTTAAATATTTACAAATCTATGCAGTCATTTTATGACGTAATAAGTAACTCAAAAATAATTAAATTTGTTTTTAATGCTACTAATTTTTAAATTTTTTAATATATAATTTAGTAAGATTTTTAATAATACAGATGCATTATTCATTAAACTTGGACAAAAAACAGATATCGTATTTATACAGAGTAAATTTGATTATATATAATGCTAATAAACAATGTTACAGTCTTATAATACATAAAAATACGAAATAATTAACAACATTTTAATTGACAAAAAACATCAATTAATTTATTTCGATAAAACATCTTACAATGAATATTAATAACTAATTTATAATCAAGCGTATCAATGACTGCAATTCTTGTCACTTTTTCAATTATGACTTTTCTTTTACGAAAATCTAATGTTTATATAAAGTAAATATATATTATATATCATATACATTAGTATGACTATTTTTAAAAAATCTAAGAAATACTTTATTAAGATAGATAATGTATATTCTTTCAAGTACCTTTTAACATAAACAATTTAAAAATTGTTGATTATTTAAATTGATTGAAACTACTTGAAAAGTTGATTTTTATGAGATCTGTATGCTAGGATAGGCAAAATATAAATTTCGAAAGATAACTGAGTGAAAGTCATTGATTTCACCTGAACTCATAGATTTGTATGCTATGTTCTGGGACATGTTTTAAATTTAAAGATTGATACCTAAAATGATAAAAACCCTATTATTATTTTTATAAAATATAAATATACAAATATGAACATGCAAAAGTTATAATTTCTTAATATAAAATACATATAACTAAAACTGAAATATTATTTGAAATTATGAAGATATTTAATAAATAAAATTTAAGAATATATTTATCTATAAATATATCAAATAATATATCATAAATATATCATAAATATATCAAATAATACTACCACTCGGAACTACGATGATAATAAAAGCCTTCGATTGTAGCAGCAGATTTTTGGAAGCAAATATAGTAAAATCCTGCAAATGAGGCACCGTTGATATCTTTAATAGTATGGTCAGGGACCAAAAAATGTTCTTTCCACCTCATAAAAACAAAGTCAGTTCCTTTCAAAGCCTCGTAATCAAATGTGTCTGAATTAAATGTCTTGGCATATTGACGAAATGATTCAAATTTGCTCTATAATTTTAAACAATTCAAATTTGTATAGATATTTGTCAAAGTAATGAAAATATATAATAGAATACAAACCCAATGTTTCCTATCAACATCTTCATCTGCATCCCATTTACGAGTTAAAAATGGATATTTCTTTGATATAATTTCACCATCGAAAAATGTAGTTAAAGTGGGAAACTCCTCTGTGAGACCTTTAATTTTTAAATAGCCACATAAATAGCTATTTTCTTCATCTACGTGCTGTAATGAAAAAATATTTTTAAAATAATATTTTATATTTCATTTTTAAAATCTTACTACAAAAGATTATTCATGTTTTAAAATATATAACTCGTGCGCACACACACACACATATACACAAAATGCGCGCACATACATTTTTGTATATGTAAATATATTTATACAGATTATGAATAGATGATACAAATGTATATAACATATGTAATACATGTGCGTGCATAATCTTGTAAACATTCCAACTAAAATTTCAAGTTCAATCAATATCTATTACTCAAATGCTACTTATAAATTGTTGTTTTATTATACATTTTGCTTTTGACAAATTCATTTTAATAAAATACCAAACAAAATTAGAAATTTATATTGTGAAGACATTTATAAGCAAACTGAGAAATACAAAGGAAATATTTAAAAATTCTGTTTTTAAAGGTCATTTTAAACCAGTAACAATTTAAATATGTAAATAATATAGTTAACAGACCCGAATCCGGAAATATTATGAAATATTTAAAGGCTAAAAGCGTATAATCAATCATTACGCAGCAGACAGATGTCAAAGATGCAACAGAAATTTGGGATATTTGTGGCGCAATTTTCAGAAAGACGGGGAACTAACCTGCAAAACTACTTCTACGTCGTAGCTGTTGCCTTTAGACTTTTGAGAACCCTGAAATCGCGAACCGTTATAGAGCAAAGATTTTGTGACACCCGGCTGCTTTGAGTTTGCGGGCGGTGGTGGTACTACGTCAACTTTCACCGGCATTCTCGGCTCAAGTGAACGTTCTTAAAATTTGCCCTCCTTGGGCGACAATCCCTTCATCACAAAACTCTCGCAATGACTGCCGGTAATTTTCAAGACATACATAGATGTATTTCTACAAAGCCTCGAATCCAGACACCTTCGCGATTGTAATTTTTACGTAAACGTTCAATTCGACGTCTCTTGAAAGGATCTCATTTTTTTTCACACAAATGCCCATGAATTATTTTTAATAAACATTGAAGACAACATTCCACTTAATCGAACAAAACACAATATTGTTTTGTCAACTTACACGTATCGTGTCCTACAAAATTTTAGTTCTATTTTGCCGGATGTATAGGTAAGTACATAATACTTACCGACAATTCAAATTCTTTTATTCGTTCAAATTTTGTACACGTATTATCAATTTCAGTAGCATCGTTCTGCTGTTATTTTGTGAAATATATACATCAAAATCTTTATGTTCAACAAATATAAAGAAATTATCATTTACATTTATTTCTCTTTTTTTTTCGTAAACAACGATCTCAATTTGCTTTCCCGCCATAAAGTTGCAATTTAAATAGTGTTGTTACGTATTGAAGTGTAGCGAAATACGTTAATAATTCAAACGAAATATTTAAATTTCTACTTTAAAAAATATAATTTTATTTTATGTATCGTTTTCATTTCTGTGGACTTAATATTAAGAGATTGATTTGATTATGTTACGAAGGCTATGAGCTGAAAGTTGCGTGAGTTTCAAAGCAAATATGGAGGATTTCAGTGACACGAATTCACACGAAATGACAGAAAATCATGTTCAAAAACGATGTAATAATCAGTGGGTTCGGTTAAATGTTGGTGGTACATATTTTTTAACGGCAAAAACTACTCTAGCTAGAGACCCCAATTCATTTCTTTACCGATTATGTCAAGAAGATTCTGATCTTATCTCAGACAGGGTTAGTCGATGTTTCTAAATAACCGCGAATTTCAAAATATTGTCAAACATTATTCTTATCTATATGACTTCCGTATAATTAATACGAATATTTTACATAAGTCAATTTAAATCAGTTATTTTTATAAATTCCTTACGTTTATTTTCAAGAATTATTATTATTGTTAGTGTACTTAAATGTGTACTTAATATATAGTAATTACATTACTATATATATTAGTTATTTATTTAATATTATTAATTATTAATTATTATTAATATTATTAATTAAGAATTATTATATATATTATTTATATATATTATATTAATATTATTAATTAAGAATTATTATATATATATATAATATTAGTTATTAGTTAATATTAAGTATATTACATATGTCATGATATATAGGCTATAATTACATATCATACATATATCATTATATTAAAATAATTCCATATTGGTAATTGGTAATATAATAATTTGTAATTTTACGTAAAATACCATATCTGTTATGAAAAGTTTAAATAACTTGTTTTATTTAAAGTATTATATTTTGTTATACAGGATGAAACTGGAGCATATTTAATAGATCGTGATCCAACATACTTTAGTCCTGTGTTAAATTACTTACGTCATGGGAAATTGGTTATTAATAAAGACTTAACGGAAGAAGGAGTTTTAGAAGAAGCTGAATTTTATAATATTACAGAACTTATTCGTCTAGTGAAAGAAAGAATTATATTAAGAGATACTAGACCATTAAGAGATTCAAAAAAACATGTTTATAGAGTTATCCAGTGTCATGAGGATGAATTAACTCAAATGGTATCAACAATGTCTGATGGATGGAAATTTGAACAGGTATTTCTTATATTTTTAAACTAATAATATTTTTATATTAATATTTTATTTTTTTAATACAAATGACATAATTAAAATTTCACTTTTATCTGTTTAAGTTAATTAACATAGGATCTCAATATAATTATGGAAATGACGATCATGCTGAATTTCTGTGTGTGGTCAGTCGAGAATATGGAGCCAGTCAACTAAATAGCAAGGAACAAGAGTCGACGGATCGTGTTAAGGTATCATTGTTACATTCAAAATTTTCATGTCACTCTTTTAACCAAAACAATTATACTTAACTTTTTTTTATAATTTTGTTAAATAATTGTATTACTTTATTTATATTTTATATTTATTTTGTTGTTTTTGACATAAAATTATATTACTAATGTTAATTAATATATTTTTATTTTATTACCAATAATTAATAAAATATACTATAATTAATAAAATATTGAATTATAAACAAAATATAAAGTTCAAAAAAAATTTATAAATAAGAAACTTTCATATATTTATGTAAATGAAATTTAAGGTCAGTTATGTTTAAATTTCTAGTCATAAAACTTTTACTTTTGTTTTATAATATAAGATAAAAAAATACCCTATAATTGATATTAAATGTATCATATGGAAATCATTTTATATTGCTTTTTTATAAAAATAAAAAAATATTTCGGTGTTTATCTTTTTTTATGGAATTAAATTATAATATAATATTATTAATAATTATGTTTTTCTTGCTAAAACATTTATTTTTAATACTAATTCAGAGGTCAATTTGCATGAGCATGTTCTGCCTCTCTATATTTGCTGTATGTATTATAATTTTTTGTATTGCATGCTGAACATTAAATAAAGAATTTTTTCTTTTATTGGCTTGATTACTTTTTACCCTGTTGTCCTGCATTTATTAATGCATGTGTCTGAATCATTCTTTAAAAATATTATATTTACAATCAAATCTTTTGTATAATAAAGATTTTATAATATATTGAAAATAAAATATTAATAATTAGTTTACAAAATTATTTTATATTTCATTCATTATTATTTTATTACTTTCATCAAAATATAAAGATATTATCTTATTGCAATCTATACAACAAAATGCAGAGGCTGAACAATGCAAAACTAAATAATATCTACATATTTTAGTTAAAGTTTTATAATGATATTTATATGTTTTTTTATAAAATGTATTTTGTAATACAAATTTTATAATCTTACTAAGCTTCAATCATGAAATTGTATTTTAGGTTCTGCAGCAGAAGGGTTCTCGCATGTAATCTCTAAATCCATCTTTTTCTTTTCTTGCTTCATTTAATTAAATCAACTGTGCAGCAACAAGATGAAGACTATTTTTATTTCTACATATAGAAATTTAAGTTCACACAAGGTCTTCATTGCTTTATTTTCAATAACAAAGAAGAAGATACAAAGGTATAATTTTTTTTGTAGATACATAGTTATACAACACAAAATGAAATTATAAGAATTGAAAGTATTATACATTGATAAACAAATTATTTTATTTTTTAAATTTTAATTTTAATTTCTAACAAACATTTAATGAGAATGGTATGGATTATAATGATAAAAATAATGCTGAATTATTTCATAAGGGATCATTTTATAATGGAAGAAATTAGTAAAACTTTTTATCCCACATCTATGACACTCTCCTTTCAAAAAAGAATGTACCAATTATAAATATTAATACATACGTACATACATACAATTATCAACAATAATATGTTATGAAAAAAATTGTTATTTAGAAATGTTTTAATTTCACTAAATAGTTTAAAAGACAATAGCATTCATAAAGGCAATCTTTTTCATACAAATTTCTACAATGAATATAAATACTCTCTAGTAATAAATAGTTTATCTTTTTGTAACAAGTTGTATAAAAATTATTTTTTTTCTAATTGTATCTTTGTCATAATATTACCTAAATTACTTACCTTTGCACTGCCGCTATAAAACATAAAATGATATTTGTATATCTAGCATGATACTTTTGATTACCGGATATAAATTTATAACCACAAACGTAAAATTAATTTTGACATATAATAATGTGAATAAAAAAGGAATGAATGTAATTTTTAATAAAAGCAATTTATTATATTGTTTATTAATATATTATAATGTATAGTGGAAAGATTACAAACGTTCAAACCATATGAAACATTTTAAAGAAATTAAATAATTCTCAATTACTTAAGACTTTTCTAAATATATATAATTTCTATTTCATAATATTTAATTTTATGCAAAATAATTAGGGCGATAGACTGTACAATTATGTATAAAAAGATACATATTATTATATTTTTCACTTTCTTTTCTTTTTTTATTTACAATACGTCTATTTAATTTGAATAAAAGTTTTCGTATATATTTAAGATTACAACAAATCTCTATTATAATTATAGAAATAAAAACACTTTGTAATAGGCATTAACATAGGTTGTCAATTGTTGAAGGCCTATTAAAGAAGTGTTGTAGACAATATACTTGTAAAAGAATTATTCGTGAGAAAAAAATTATATGTAGCACTAAATTGTTATAAGTATTATTAGAATTATGTTATATATGATATATAATAAGTTGTATATTATATATATATATACATATATAATAGTTTAATGACAAAGATTTTTTTCTGAACATGGTGTATAAAACAATTTAGTAATACGTTCATGTGTCACTGAATAAATATTAATAAAAGAAGGTTTAATTATAGATAAGAAACGCAAGGCATATGAATACCTGCAATGAAAACTTATTGTTTGGCTATTAATTATTATTCTACATATTTGAAAATAGCAGAAAAATTAAGACCAAATATTAATCATTTTGTGCAATGTACGATGTAACTTGTATTAAAAGATGATGTTGCTTTGTACCTTAAACTTATATCATTAATTTAACTGATATTAGAATTCACTATTATCATATTAAGCATAGAGATATATAACTATATGTAAAAGAATTTGTACTTTCATAGATATATTTCTAAGTCTACTAATTGTTTGACGTTTATTGTTAGAAAAGAAAGTAATATTTATATGCATTCAAAAGTAAATTTTAATACTGACAATTATTTCAAATTAGATAGAAGATTATAGGAAGAAATATATAAATACAAATAAAATAAATGAAAATTTATAATATACAAATTGTGTTTAAAATAAAAGCAATTTTATTTACAAAGAACATATATATTTAGTAATTATTTTTAACATCACGTATATTTATTGATATTCATATATATATATGAATATATTAATTTAGTATTTAATTTTTTCAAAATAAGGATATTTTATATGTATTGTAAAATATATGCTTCACTGATTACAATAAAATTAAAAATTTAATTTATATACTGCAAAAATATTGTATAATATATTATGAATAATTAAATTTGCAGTTTATTTTTTTGGATATCAAATTAATGTACAAATGTCTACATCAATTTTTTATTAATTAAAAATATATTATTTACAAAACAGTACCGAGTATCAATTTTTACAATAAATTATAATTATATTATATACATAATTATAATATTAGAATATTATAGCAGATATAGTGAGATACATTTATGGATATATATATTGATTAAGGCATATTTGCTATTGTTTTTAATGGTTGATCAAGATATCTTGCTAAAGCTTGTGCTTTTTCTCTCAATAATCCAAATCCTACATTTTCTTTTGCATACAAACATAACAACAAATTAGCTACTTCGGTAATAACGACTTTGCCCTCCTACAAAAATATTATTTTGATTAAAAATATATTAGTAATTATATGTTATTTATAACCTTTCATTAATTAATATGATACTGAAATTTGTAAATAATGAATTATAATCTATCATTGCAATAAAGACTAAATACTATATTAATAAATAATGTATTAATAATTATTAATTGATTAAAAAATATATTATAAAAAAAATGTTTTTTTATGTTTATGTTTTCATTACTGTTACACTGTTTTTTATTTCATTAATAATCTTAACTATTGATAGTCTTAATAACTATTAAATTAACTATTAATGAAATAAAAAACAGTGTAACAGTAATGAATATTTTAATGTTTCAATAATATTTGTACTGTTTTTTATTTCATTAATAGTCTTAATATGTTTAACTTATATTTAACATGAACTTTACTAAAAATATCTTTACAATGCATTACAAAAATTTATTTGTAATTGATTAGGAAGAAATATTAATAAAAACATTAAATTAAAGAAATATTAATAAAATATATAGTATATAATGTAAGTATCATATAATTAATTAATTCATAGTAAAATATTTGTTAATTACCACACAATCCATCAATACAAATTGCAATTCATCTTCTTTAAACGCATTTCGTCCATTCTTTTCATAAGCTGACCAAATGTTACTTGTAATAGCAGCAGTTACTCTTGCATCCTTATCTCCGTAACCACTGTAAGCCAACAAACCACCATCTCTATTTAATAATCTGAAATTTTCATTTAAAATATTTTCATTAAAATAATCATAAAATTTTCCAACTGTTCTTCGTTATAATAACAATCAAAAATATATATAAATTCATTTATATAATTTCATTTGAGTATACATTAAAAGCTTATCTATAATATTATATATAATATTATATATCTCGTCATATTATTGGATTATATTAATATTAATATTATATTAATATTCTTTTCAATGAAAAAAATATTTTACTTACAATGTATTTTCTACGCCACCGGTATTGGCTTGACTAAGTACTTGGGTTAAAGCTTTTGGTTTCAACATAGTTTCACAAGTGATAAATACCAATTTTTTCTCTTCAATTATTCTCAACAAACTTTATTGTAAATTTTACACAAAACACCAAGATATAAGCATTATTTTTTAATAGCTGCAATCTTTAATAGCTGTAAAACAAAGTACATATAATATTCCTAGGACAAAAACGTATGAGACAAATTGTACAATACCAATTTTTCACTAGAGGAAAGTAAATTTCTAGCATATATTTTCTCATATTTATAACATATTATTATAGCTTAAAAAATCCTTTTAATAATAATAATACAGAATTTTTACTTTATTATCTAAAAATAAAAAATAAATAAATATAATTATTTGATTTTAATACCCTATCCTTTACAATTGAAGATATAGCGATTTATGATGTTATTAATTTATTTTAATATGAAAAAATTATGTAACTGTATTTTATTATAAAATTTTAAAATAAAAAGTACAGAATGAGTATTTGAAAGATTTGAGATTTTACATAGCTCAAGGTAAAAATAAAAAAAATAGTTAATTATAATTATGAAACAAACCTATGTTATTACACATTTTACTATATAATGCTATAATTATTTTACTCATATAAATTATTAATCATATAAACATTACTGTAATAATATAATATTATTGATAAAAATTTTTCAATTTCGTAAAAACAAAATTATACTAACGAGGTTATATTTATACCAAGCAAAGGTTATGTTCCGCTTGTACGTACATATTTAAATTGAGATATATTTTTAAATATGTAACATATTAAATTTTCAATATGTGACATAATTTAGAATTAATACTCTAGTAAGTAATGAAACTAACTTTAATATAATGTATATGTATACAATAAATATATACTACATAACTTATCGCAAAAGCACAGGAAAATAGTATACTTAAATAATGACAAAAAATATTATTTTGGGGAAATTACTTTGTTATTACGCAAGAAAATAAATTAAAAACAGAGCATTACTTGCAGAGGATAAATTGACAAGTTATGGTATAATTGTATAAATATACGTGTACATATACATGTGCTTTTGAAAAAGAAAATTTGCATAGTTTATAATCAAAAGTAAAGTATATCCAAAATTGTTATTCAACTATTAAGTAATGAATGAGGAAGAAAGATAATGAATAGTATTAAATAATTTGAAAAAACATTGTTTTTTTTACATTATATTTTACAATATATATAATATACTTTCCATACACATTTTACAACATATATAATATATTTTCCATACATCGTACATACACATACTGCAAAATATAAAACAATTACTTATACATTAATATTACCATTAACATTAACATTACTTATAAATTAACATAAAATATAAAACAATTACTTATAAATTAACAAATATTTTATTATAAGAATATCAAGAAAAATATATGAATATTTTTTAATTTACAGTAAACTGTTATCATAAATATAAAATGTGATGGCAATTTTATAAACATTTTAATAATTTTATATATGTATATATATATATATATAT